GGCAAATGGTTGTTTATCAGTCAGCATCAAACCACTTGTGATCGTCTGGTTCATTATATTAACAAAAATATTATTAATTAAACTTTGTGTTGTTTTTAGTTATTTTACTTGGTTTCAGTGAAATTAGCTCAAACTACAATCATTTTGCAGGTTTCACAAGGTTAACTAAAATCCAATTCTCATAATTTACGTCATAAAGTCTTTGTTATAAATGAGATCTTGGATCTCAAAGAGACGACCTGTAAGGTCAAATAAATAAGAACAATAGTTTTCCTGCAACTCAGAAACATTTCTAAGAAATGAATCAATACAAGAATATTCAAAACAAGAAGCAGTGAAGAGCAGACACCTCTTCTGTGTTGACAGTGAAAGTTTCACTCTTCAGACCTCCTTCCATCCCTCCAGTCACCCCATTGCGAAACTGATGATGGACGTTTTTAGACATTTCATTCGGAGCAGGTTGACCCACAGAATATCTCTCTTCACAGCGCTGAAGGCTTCAGCGAGGTCAGCAGAAGCAGGTCTTTGTGTTGTTCCTGAAGTTGCTGGGCTGTGGAGACACACACCCAGTGTTCAWCCACAGGAACAGACTGTGCTCAGTCCAGGGGTGGTTCTTGGACACCCCCTGATATCTGCTGGTGAGGATATGGAGCTCCGCCAGTCACATTACTCATCCGCTTTTATTTTAGACTTCAACCCATCCCGACACAAGTCCTGACAGCTACTGTAAGAATTTATTTTTATACCTTTTTAGGTTCTGGGACTTTACATAAACATTTTTTTATTTTCTGTCCTTTGGCTGCTCTGTTCTTCAGGGGTCGCCACAGAGAGCAAACTCCCATTAAAATTTGACAATTGTTTTACGACCGATGCCCTTCTTGATGCAACATAAAGCTACCACAGCCCTCATGTGGAGCAGGGGGCTGCTTTCTTATGGAAAATGTCCCGGGCAAAATACATTTAGCCAACTTTTAGATTTTGCATAACATACATAATGTATCAAAAATTTACACAAACTACTTGTTACTAAACAGTATCTGTTTATGTCCCTTTTGGACAACTTCTCTTCCCGTCTGTTTGAATCGCATCTATTTTCTGATTTAGGGTTTAACTACTTTAGCAAAGAGGGGGGATCTCCCACCATACTCTGGTGGAATAACCTGTGTCTGCTTCATTAGTAAACTTATATGTTCATATAATATATAAGGGAGGCTTTCCACGCTTCCTGGGGCACCTGGGGGAGCAGATGGTGGAGGTTAGGGGCCTTGCTCAAAGTCTGATAATGGGGCAAATGAGGGTAGAGGTAGATGGGGGTGCCTTACCTCGCCCTCCAAAATTTTTGATGAAACAGGAACTGGGCTCATCCTCTGTAASCTCTGAGCCACCTCTCTAGGGGTGACCTATATTTTTGTCTATGTCCAGAAATTGTCCACCATTGTACCATTCTTTCAAAGTAAAGGTCTAACATTACCTGGGGGCGGCTGTGGCGGAGTGGTTAGGGGAGTCRTCCTGGAACCAGAAGGTCACTGGTTCGATCCCCCGTCCAGCCGTCTCAGTCGTTGTGTCCTTGGGCAAGACACTTCACCCACCTTGCCTACTGATGGTGGTCAGAGGGTCCGGTGGCGCCGATGCATGGCAGCCCCACCTCTGTCAGTGTGCCCCAGGGCAGCTGTGGCTACAGTGTAGTTTGCCATCATCAGTGTGTGAATGTGAGTGTGAATGGGTGAATGTCTGTTAGTGTAAAGCGCTTTGGGGGTCCGGAGGGACTTGAAAAGCGCTCTATAAGTTCAGTACCATTTACCTGAAGAAAACCATATTGCATACTTTTACATCAAAGTTTGGAATTAACCAATCTGTTCATTGTTCCCATTCAATGATAAAACTGGTYCTATTTCATCCCTACTGACCGCCAGAGGGCGGTGCTAAAAGCACTGAATGTTCTCTTCGCGCATGCGCCGTTCGAGCTGTAATACCAACAGAGTCACACCTGTGACCAATCGGATGACTAATCAGAGGCTATATAGTTTGACTTCATCCAAAGCTGTGTTCCTCTTTTCTTCTCGCATACAGTTTGTTTTCTCTTGTGGAATATTTTGCCGTCGTTTGGAGGTCCCGATTGCCAGTTGGCTGGAGTAGCGGTGTATCGCCCTCCAAGGGACTGCGACGGACTTGTCTTCAAAACAAAGAGGTATCCGCTGTTTTGTTGGGGTGACGGCGTTTTTCGCCTGGTTCCCCAACTTGCAGCGTTTCTTTTTCTTATCAARTCTGTTCATTGTTCCCATTCAATGATAAAACTGGTTCTCTGCATTTGACCAATCAYACATGTGAGATGCGCCCAGGTGGAGCAGCTATTTATGCACCTGGTGAGCATTTAGGGAATGAGTGCTCAAGATCACCTCAATAAATAGGCATGAGAGCAAATTTAGTCTGCATCTTTCTGGTCCCAAGTCAGCTGCCCTACCACTGCACCACAGCTGTCCCATCTGGATTAATATAATGTTGGCCGTGTTTGATCAGAACGTGGTATAGATTACAGACTCATCCTGTGTTACCCTCACACCTGTGTTGTGCACGAGTTTTATTGTAAGAAAAGATTCTTCACTTGCACCCGTCTCCACCTCATTCAGAGTCACTATAAGTGGTAGAAGTGAAAAAAAAATACAGTGTTCAGCAGCAGCTCTGGCCATCTTAACCCCAATCCAACAGTTGTGCTGTGTAATCCTCCAACAGAGGTCCTGGACCGATGTGGACCTCAGGCGGAGCGTTAACACCTCTTTATGGCACAGTATCAGTTCCCTGGCGTGGTCCTGGCCTGGCAGATCAGATTCCTCTTGCTCTGCCAGCAGACTCACCAGCTTTGAAGAAGAAACTGATATCTGGAACCACTTTCCAAACTTATTCCAGTCCAACTGTAAGACGGCACCGCTTAAAACYCTGCCGACCTGATTAGCTGAGGAAAACTCCCTGCCTGGTGACACGATGATGGATCTCTGCAGCAGTGCTGGAGACGAACACGAAGGAACGGTGGATCGATGGGAACACAGCGGAGCACCCCGTCGGAGAAAAAGAACATTTCTCTTTAGCTAACCCTTGTAAWTGACATTATGAGGGTGAAATTTCAGAATGATACTTTTCATTTAAGAAAACATCTGTTCAATGATTCATGATATTTGGCTAAAACAGAGTAAATAAAAAGTTTTAAAGAAAGATCTTGTGTGATGTTTTTGTGTTTTCTAAAATCTGTCTGTGGCAGCCATCTAATCAACTAAAAAATGTTGCAATTTTGCAAGAAATTTACAGTATATAGAAAGAATAAAGTGGGCTAATTTGTCAAACAACTTTATCCCTCAAAGGAGGCMTACCATGATTTAAATCCTTCTTTTCCACATTTAAATCATTCTATATAAAATGGAACTTCAATCTTTCTGTCTGAATTCCCAAATTTACACTGCGCGGTTTCGCTCCGCTGCGTTGTGCAGTTCACTGTTGTTTGTTTCCACCCCAATTTATACTGCGTCCACTCAGCACTGGTTTGAAGCACAGAGGAGCTATGTGCAGGAAATGTGAGATTGTGCCATAAATCCAGTGATAAATCTGGAAATCAGAGGAAAGGAATTCATTCTGTGGAAGACAGACTCCAAACAGTTGAAACTGCATCGATGTTGTGTTTTTGAAACTTCTGCTGTCAGAATAAAATCCGTGTGTAACATGTGTGTGTGTGTGTGTGTGTGTGTGTGTGTGTGTGTGTGTGTGTGTGTGTGTGTGTGTG